GCTGCACACCTACTCTCGACATGCGCAAAAAACACATGTGCCAATGTATCTTTCCGTATTCTGGCGGAGGATTCAGTGTCATTTTCCACACTCCGAGAACAGTGGAGCGAGTGCCATTGGTTCTAGAAAACGTCCGAAAATGTTCTCCCTGACCAAAAAAAAAAAAAAAAACTCCAAAATGTTATCCCTGATTATAAAATAGACTACGCATACATTCGATGATGCCGGCACAATGGGGCTCGCTGCACTACCTCTTGAAATGTGCAAAAAGAGTGAATCTTCGGCTAGAATATGGAAAGATACACCGCCAATATTTTTGTCTTTTGTGAATGTCGAGAGTAATGCAGCGACGCCCAATGCCGGCACATTTCACATTATGCCCTCCTCTTACCACGAGACTTGCCGGGCAGACATTGGACGAGGCACATGTACGACACTCGTATAATATCAAAACTCGCTCAGAAAAGCCATAAAAACGATTTAAAAAAGACGACAGCTGCAATTAACAATGATGAGAATGTCTTAAAAATAAAAAACATAAAAATAAAAAGAACAAGAAGAAGAAAGAGGATAAGAAGAAGAAAGTGGATAAGAAGAAGAAGAAGAAATGATGACAATGGGCCTCGCTGCTCTACTCTCGAAATGTGCAAAACGAGAATGTATCTTCCGCTTGAATATGGAAAAATACACCGTCATGATTTTTGTCTTTTGTGCATGCGGAGAGTAGTGCAGCGAGGCCCAATGTCACGTATGAAGGCGATACGACAGCTGGAATTATGGTCACAACGGAAACGTAGCGAAGGCGCATGCAACGGTACTCGATAGGAAAAAGGAGAATAGAATCCCAAATGAAAGAAAAGTAAAACCCGGTTCATCGTCTTCTTAATATATCGTCGCCCACAATACACCCGCAGGCACTGAGCATGCAAAAGGAGAACTGACACCCTCCCAGAAAGTTCAAAAATAGACACAGAAAAACAAAATACACCCCACCCCAAAAAAAAAAGACACCCTACCAAAAACAAAAAAAAAGACACCCTAAAAAACAGAAAAACTAGAAAAGACAACCCCACCCAAAAAAAAGACCTTACCAAAAAAAAAAGAAAGACACCCTACCAACAAAAAAAAAAGACACCCTACCAACTGGCCTAACTCAGTTAGGCCACACATGTGCTGTTGAAATACACGTCTGCTTTCGAGTTCCGGCGGAATCAGACGAACGAACGCAACGCCGAATTTAGCTGCGGCCAGTCAGATCAAGATGATATCTCACGGCTGTCACCCTTTCAAAAAAAAAAAAAAAAAAAAAAAAAGAACCCACACCTTCAGGCACGGAAAGTAAAACACGGTTCTTAATTCGTTGACGTCCAGATTATCCAAGCAGTTGCCTTCTTCTTCACAAACAACGCCACTTAACGACTGGAAACAACACGCAAATTTTCAATTAAAAAAACACAAAAAACACGCAAATTCGTTGACACCGGAACTTGTTGGAAGTAACTTTTTAATTGTGTGTCATGCAGAGTCGTCAATTGAAAAAAACACGCAAATTTTCAATTAAATAAACACAAAACAAACACACTCAACACAATCCCTACTCCACCCGTTTCATCAGCACACCACTCTCCCTTGTACTACGCCCTCTCTGCCTCTCCGTCTCCGTCTCCCTCTCCCTCTCCCTCCCTCTGCCTCCTACCTGTCAACCGATTCTCCGTTCCAACAACCAAGCATTGACTTAAGGAAATAAGTTCACTTTCTCTCAAGTAGTCACCCACCATCCTGCGAAACCACAGCCAAGGGGAGGGCACGGAAGAAAGACAAAAAAAAAAAAAAAAAAAACACGAAAACTTAAAATCCGTTCGCACCCACCATCCTTCGAAGCGAAACCACAACCAAGGGAAGGGCGTGGAAGAATTACAAAAAATAACAATAATAATTAAATAAAAATAAAATAAAATAACGAAAAAAAAAAACGGCAACTTCAAATACGTGTGGAAATACGTTACGTAACTTCCTATTTAAGGTCGTCAACTGAAAATCCGAAAACTTCGAAGAGAAGTGCAATCGACTCCAAGCCATCAGAGCCGTCTCACAGCCCCCTATGCTCCCCTCTCATCATATATCACCCTCCCCTTCTACACTCTTTCTCCACACCCCTCTCATCATATATACGAGTTCCTGTGAAACGACTCCCACCTTCATGTATCTAATATCTGAACAGATATATGCCCCCTCGCATCCGTCGTCATGACCATATCCGACTCTTCGGCTTCACTAAGCACAGAACATCCGCTTCATACAACGCACATCCCTACCGACCACCGAACCTCTACCCGTATCCATTCTAGGCCTTGTATAGGCTCAGTCCAACCTCACATGCATCCCCCATCCGACCGACTTCAAGCAAACCTGCTCTGTCAATGCCGTCTCTCAGACGTTACTTCCGTCTTCGATGGAGGGCTCTCTCTCTCTCTTCTCTATGTCTATCTCTCTCCGCCACAAAGGCAGAGAGGGAGAAGCTGGCCCAAGTGTGCCCCACTTGTGGCAAGAGCTGATGTGCCACGACACTTGGCTCTCTCTCTCTCTCTCTCTCTCTCTCTCTCTCTCTCTCTCTCTCTCTCTCTCTCTCTCGCGCTCGCTCGCTCGCTCGCTCGCTCGCTCGCTCTTCTCTATGTCTATCTCTCTCCCCCACAAAGGCAGAGAGGGAGAAGCTGGGAGCCCAAGTGTGCCCCACTTGTGGCAAAAACGGATGTGCCACGACACTTGAGTGACTGGCACAGCAAGTGAAACCGTACACGACAGTTCGTCGTCTACTGGCGGTGACAACGTCTTCCATCGTTAGACATGTAGCAGCTGTTAGCGTCTGCCTGCAATCTATCTAACCTCATCCTATGCTTCCTCTACGCACCAAACAGCAGACATTATGCACATACCAACCTCGCCACAACACCAGCAAATAGAAGCCTACAAGACTGCTCGTTGTCCACTTAAGGTGGTCAACAAACACCTCTTACACCTCTTACATCTTTGTGCACCCCAGCAGCTATTAACTGTGCCTGCAATCCTGCAATCCTGCAATCTACATCTTCCCCCGAACAGAACGCACGGCCATAATGCACGTATCTAGACTGAAAGTTGGCCCAAATTCGGCTATAGTCGTCATCCTTGGCTTCCTGTACCTCTTCCTCCGAATACAACGCACGGCCATAGTGGCACGTACCTAGACTGAAAGTTGCCCCAAATGCGGCTAGTCCTAATCATCGGCTTCCTGTAAGCATCACACCGCAGACAGTAAGCACATACCGCCCTCGCCAACCGCAGCAATGACAAAACAAGCATCACATACGTGACCGCTCGTCTGTCGCTGGCTGACGGGCATGCTGAGGCTTTCAGCACCTTTCCTTGCAACGAATACACGACGCTACCTAGTTAGTGACGCAGGGATTTCCTCAAGTAGGGAACCCCCTGATCTCTTGAATGTTCCGTGAAGCTACACCGCGCCGCGCGCTTCCTATGTCAATTACCCTATCCTGCAGTAGTCAATGACGTACAGGCTTTTCCTCACTACCCCACCGTCTTCACCCGCATATAACGCCCGGACCTTACAGCTGTATTTGGGCCACTTTTCAGTCCAAATACAGCACTTTTGGGGCCACTTTTCAGTCCGTTTGCAGCTATAGTGACGAGGCGTTCTATTCGTGTGAAGACGGTCGGTGGTCCGCGCCAGCTATTCTTTAGGTATGGCTGGCCTCGGCATTATCGATGGACTGCAGTGAGAGTTGACATATTGCACGACGCCGACGGACACCTAACACCTCAAACATCTCGCGCAACGATAACGCCCAAAGAAAAAAGAATTCAGCATCTTCATCACCCACCTAATGAACAAAAGAAACGAAGCAAAGAAGAAAGAATTATGCACATTCACCCGCCTAATGAACAAACAAAACAGCAAGGAAGAAAGAATTGTGCATCTTTGCCCGCCTAATGAACAATCACCTTCACCCGCCTAATGAACGAACAACAAAACGAAGCAAGGAAGAAATAATGTGCATCTTTACCCGCCTAATGACCAATCAAAAGCACTTCAATAGGCCGGTTCATACAAATCACACAGTACACAGTACGTCTGCTGCTATAAGTATGTACGGAAAAGGAGCCAATTGAATTTCGAAAAAAATGTTCACAAAACATAGATCGATCGAAAGAGAGTTTGACTACAAGGCGTCCACGGAGAGGCCTCAGATTTCAAGACTCACCACGTCCCCGACCGTCCCTTCAAAGACCACTCTATATCACCTCCCCCTCTCCCCTCTCCCGTCTCCCCTCTCCCCTCCCCCTCCCGCCCCACCTCCCCTTCCCTCGCAGCTCCTGCTCCTTCAGAGAGCAAAATATGCCAGCCTCCACTCCTCGTCCCACCTAATGTCAACCCCGATACCACCAAGTCCAATACACCAACCCCCTTCCCCTCTCTGCCCCCTTCGTGGGGAAGCAAACCAAGCCAAACCACCAAGTCGTGTTTGCCTGGCAAGCCGTAGGTTGTGTATTCGATTCATGGTTTGGACATGCACGAACCCACAGTCGGTTCGATTTGCTTATTGCTTTTTGCTTAACCCCCATCGAACGGCGAGGCGCCAGGTTGTGTTGGCCTGGCAAGCCGTAGGTTTTCCGTTCGATGCTCGGTTTGGACATACACGAGCCCACAGTCGGTTCGGCTTGCTTCGCTTATCACCCCAATCCATCGCCCGGGATCGACACCTAGAAATGAAGAGTGCGGTCGATTGGAACTGGGCCTCGGCTCTGACAGACAACACGGCAGACAATCCACGTGTCAGGCCGACCCCGACCATCTCCTGATGCCCCGACTGAAACCGCAAGCAAGCACCTACAGCACCTCCATCCGTCCAATGGTGCGGAAAGAACCAAGGACAAGGTAGCTGCCTGCCTACGGCAACGCCGCCGTTAGTCCCCTCCCCTACCCCTTCTCCCCGTCACAACCATCCGTGCCAGTCTCTAGACCTAAGCCCATGCCACTAAGGGAACTCGCACCCCGGGACTTTTTCGACGGAGCTCTGGACGTGATTCGGGTCAGATGCGGCCAGCTGCGGTCGTAATTGCAATCAGATACATGCCTTGAAGCGACGACATGCTCATGCTGGCTGATTGGCGCCCATAACATAACGGTTTGTGCCCCTGCAAGAACAACTCGATCGGCTGGCTGACAGTCGTTCTCCGGTAGGACAGCCGCTGTGTCATCCTCAGTAATTTCCCATGGTAAAGTAGCTTTTCAAAATATAGGGTCACTCCACTGAGCCCGAATGTTTGGCCGCCGCAGCCGACGGCAACGAGGCAACGATGCCATGTCAAACCAATGAATGAATAGCAGCAGTCCTTAGCGAACGGAAGGGAAAGAAAAGAAAAAAGGACAATCTTTGACAGTCGAAAACAAAAAAAAATCATCGTCAATTACGCACGCGCGACCGACATCGCTGCGCAACACAGCAGCCAGCCGACTCTGGCGCGTACCAAAAAACAAAATAAAACAATAGATGGATGCCAAGCCGCCCACCGCTCTTACCAATCCCCTACAAAGCAAGAAGAGAACCTTCACCTGACCTCATCCTGCCTTACGCCCAAGAAAGACCCCACTCTCAGCACGTAGTAGACGCCATAAAGACGCCACACACATAGTCACATCAAACACCACCTCCCCCGTCCGCCCCCCCCACTAAAAGTACCCGTTCCCGCGTTGTGGTACACTGTATTCCGCGCCCAACAATTCCTCCCCCGTTTGCTCCCTCCGCTGTGCAAAAAAGGCGCGACCGCTCCGCCGCCCCTTCGAAAAGGGTGGAGCCAAGATGTACTACTGACTTGACCATATATTGCATAATCTAATAATAATTTACGAAAAGCCCAATCAGCAAGATTTCAGATTAAAGCGCCTACCAAACCCCATCCGTCCAAATCAGCAAACCCCTTCCCTCGCCTCAAACACTACGTGGAGTCCAAAATACACACGACACCTTGCACTACCTACCTCAACCCCGTTCTCCTCATCTTGTCCACAACTTACGCGCACGACCAACAACCTTACCACCTCACAAACCACGTCCATGAACAACGGCGTCAACCACTGCGGAGCCGAAGAAACACACACCACAGAGGGCCTCGCTCACCTACTCTCGACATGCACAAAAAGACCACACACATCGCGATATAGCATTTTTCCACGCTCTAGCGGAAGATTCACTCTCGTTTTGCACGATGCGAGGGCAATGGAGTGAGGCCCATAGTGCATTACATTACTTACCTCAGCATCCGAAATTCTCCACTCATCTTGCCCGCAAAACTTGCCTGCCTGCATGGCCAAAAAACTTATCATTATCACCCCCCCACAAACCGGTCCGTGAAACAACGCCCCTCAAACACTGTGGAGGGCCAAAATACAGCAGCAGATACCATGCATTTTTACCCACTCCTCATGCATTTTTACCCACCACACTTCCGTTTACCTCATCCTCATATCGTCCAAACGACGATTCCATGGCAAGGCCGGCCCACGACATCACCACTACCATCAATCTCACCAACTTGCCCGCGCGGCGGCTAATCCCTATCACTCCTGAACTGAATTCAAAAGAGAGCGATGAAAGCACCCATAGCAAGCGCAAGCTGAAGGGACAAGGGAACAGCCGTCGTGAATGCACTATTGGGCTGGGAGGCGGGAGCCGACGGAGTGGTGGAGCGGGCGGTGGTCTGCATCTCCCTTCTTCCTCCTCCCAAGCACAGAGTATCAAAGGCGACCGCCTTGTACCCACGCGCTTCCAGGCGGCTGAAGATTTCCTCCTCGCACACCACGTTGTCGACCAGTTCATCCAAGTCCGACTGGAAGATGGAATCAAACTGTCGGCAGCAACTCTCCGACGTCATCGCGGAGGGGTTACAAGACGACGTGAGAGGACTGAAGTCGAAGTTCTCGAAGTTCATCGCGCATGGCCGAACACCACCACCTTCGGTCCTCCCAGCCACAGCACCGACAACAAGAAGGAGGCAAAGAACGGAGAGCGCTGTCGTCTTCATCTTGGCAATCCGAGAGACTCAGCCGCAACAGAGACAACGGGCAAAGACTGACAGACGGCGACAAGCTGGGCTGGAGACGCACAGCTCAACAGCGTTTGCGTTGACGTTCACTCCCCTGACGGCAGCGACAAAACAAGAAAGAGACAAAGCTGAGCCGACAGTTGGGGTAACAATCGATCGACGAGGCGTCACGAAAGAAACACCGCAAGCGAAATGAAATGAATCCTCTCAGCTGAGAGCGTCAAACAAGGCGAAAAATGACTATCTTCAGCCAAGGCACAGGCAAACTACAGTAGTAGAAGTATTCCCGCTCGCAGAAGGCCAAGCACAGGCAAGACCGAGAGGAGGGAAGGACACAGAGCGAGAGAGAGAGACAAAGCGCGGTGCATGGAAAGCGGCGCTACACTCTGTAGCGGTATTGGTTACTACCACCACAGAAGAGCACCGCAGCAACAATGCGTTTAGAAAGTCGGGTTCTCGTTAATATGGCCGCTAGGATCAAGCAGAGTTGTCCCTCACGTGCGCTTCGATTTCGATCGGCATCGAAGACGAAGGCGGCAAGCCGGCCCACAAACACCCCCCCCCCCCCCCCCCCTCTGCCTGTTCCGTGGGACGCGACCCGACCTCTGGCCTGAACGCCGAGCCACGACGTGGCGTGGTGTCTGAAAGCCGACCAGAGGCGCAACCCGGCCTACGCTCAACGTACTGGAAACGGCCAAAGCAAGGGAAAAAAAAACAAAAAAAAAACAAAAAAAAAAAGCAAGAAAACTTCGCCGAAGTGGCGAAATGGACGAAGTGGGCAAAGTGGCGGTGGCGGACAACAAAAGGACTGCGTCCGTCTAGATGTCATCGAGCAAGGATAAGGGCATCGCCACACCACTCTCGAAATTTGCAAACAAAATGGGAAGGAACTTCCCGCTAGACCATGGCCAGATGCCCCCGCCACATTTTTGTCTTTTTCACATTTCGAGAGTGGTGTGGCGAGGCCCTAACACGCATACAAAAAGAAGCAAAAAAAAAAACAAAAAAAAAACAAGGATCACACGCATAATTTTTTTCTTTTTCTCCTTTTATTTGAACAACGGTAGGCGTAATTTGCAAAATACCCCCATAAGTTGACAACGGGGCGGGGAGGTCAGCAGCCTCGTACCCATCCTTGCAAGAGGGCTTCGACGAACGGGATGAAGGTTGCCCAAGCTATTCGTCGGGGTGGAAGTCCGCCGCGCGCTATGCCAGCGAAATTTTTTTTTTCTTTGGGCATCGCCACAGCACTCTCGAAATGTGCAAGATGAGAATGAACTTCCCGCTACAACATGGGCAGATGCGCCCGCCAAATTTTTGTCTTTTTCACATTTCGATTTCGACTGGAGAGTGGTGTGGCCAGGCCCTTCCGTAGTCGTCCCGCCAGATCCTTCGCCAAACAAAAACTCTTCGCGGGTCAGGTCCCACTAGCCGCGTTGAGTTTCCTCACTCAACGCCTGAATCTGGACGCGTTCGTGGAGATGTGCAGTTGAGAAAACTGAACGCGATTTCTGCACATATCCACAGACATGTCCAGATTCAGGCGTTTTGGAAACTCAACGCTGCAAGTGGGACCTGGCCCCGGTTCCCGCCGCCAGAGACTTGATTTTGATTTTGATTCCACTACCCTGGAGCATGGACCCACTAGCGAAGGGGATTGGGTTGAGACCCTGAATCTGGGCGTGTTTTAGGCAGAGATGCAGAAGGGGAGTTCGATCTCGGATTTCTGCGCTTGTCCACAAACGCGGCCAAATCAAGGCGTTCAATCCAATCCTCTTTGCTAGTGGGACCTCGCCCCTGGACTGGACGAAGGTTGCCCAAGTTATTCGTCGGGGTGGAAGTCCGCCACGCGCCATGCGAGCGAAATTTTTTCGTTGTATTGTTATTTTATTACTTCCTTCTCCAAACTCTTCGCTTCCCCGCCCGAGACCCTTTTTTTTTTTTTTTTTTTTTTATCCCCGCCAGAGACTTGATTCCACTACAAAATTACAAAATTTGAAATTGAATGCCGGTTTGAGCTTATGTTCTGCTGACTGGCAGTTACATACATGTGTGCTCCAAGTGGAGGGTCGACATGTGGCTTGTTAATGTTAATTTTTCAACGCCTTTCCATTGCACGGATCATTTGGAATTGGACCATACAGTACAGAGAGCTTAGGGTGAGATCCCACGGGCAAAAGCGTTTGGAATAAGTATCGGAATCGGGACGTGTTTGTGGAGAGGTGCAAAAAAACTGTAATTGATCTGTTTTGTGCATCTCCGCGTCCTGATTCAGACACGTTTTAGTCCAAACCTCTTTTGCCAGTGGGATCTGGCCCTTAGATTAGCATGGCCAAAAAGAACACCTCGCCACCTCAAGAAAAAGAAGAACACTTCCACTTGAAAAACGACGACTCTTGCCCAGCGAAGGAATCCACGGTCAGTCAAAACACAGAAGGGAAGAAGGATGGAGAAGGATCGTCAGGCACGAAGGGCTTAAAGGGGAACGAACAAGGGAAGGGGAAGGGAAAGGACAATGGAAAGAAGGACGACAGGGGGGGGAAGAGACCCCTGGAAGAGAAGAGTAAACAGAAGGAGACAGAAAAGGATAGGGGAAGCACGGAAGATGGCCCACAGAAAGAAACGGAGGGGCAGGAAAAAGGGAACAGGGATGACCGAATCCCCCCCCCGGCCCCCTCCCCCCCCCCCTTCCAAATCAGATGCCTCCCTCCCCCTTAGGGATGAAGCAATGTTAGAAGCAGAGGCAGATGACGGATTCAACAAGGAGAAACCACTCCCCACATCGCCCACATACAAGGAAGTACTGCAGATGCCGATCCCCAAACTGCCAGCGAAGAAGAAACAGTTGGAGGGAAAACAGACGCCGATCTCTAAATCTAAGGCAACAGTTAGTACTCGAAGAAAGGATAAAAAACATGAAGGATCGAAAGAATGGATCCCCACGGGGCAAAAGGTGAAAACGTCAGGGGAGGCTGGGATCTCGGATCAGGACAGATTGAAAGACCCTCCTCTACAGGGCAAGGGGGATGAAGCAGAAGGAACAGACGAAGGTAAACAAGGGCCCAAGGATCAGGGCACACTTCTTGTGTCAGAGGAAGACCACCTCCGGAAGGGAGATAAAGGACAGAGTAAGAATCCCTCTTCTCCTACCTTCGCCCCCCCCATCCCCAACGTGGCAGCTGCCTCTACACCAAGACCCCCCACTCTGCCTACGCCCGCTCTCGATAAGATCCAAGGAGAACCTCAAGTGAAATACCATCCGGCCTCCGAGAAAGAATCGGGCAACTCTGGGGGGGTCGTGGAAACCTTAGCACAATTGCTTTCTGAGAAAACGCAAAAAGGTAAGCTATACGATAATGGGTTATATAACGCACCCCCTTCTAACAAAGAGGATGACCAAGAAGATCCTAATAACCTGATAGTAAAACCGCTGCAGCTGGTTGGTAAGAAGATTTTGATCCCTTCCCTGGACGAAAAACAGCTTATTAAAAGTCTAGGGGGCTCACATGCTGGGGAGGGGAACGAAGACCAAGATGACAACTCATAGTTTTTTTCCCCAGTAGGAGATACATCAGATCGGTCTGACGGACACGAAAGTGGCCAAAGGAAAGGCTTGCCAACTCTATCCGCGGATGAATCCTCGTGGGCTCTCTTCCCCTTTTCCACCCCATATGCTCCCTCCCCTGTTGCATTTCGTGCTTTCGAACCATCAGTAACTCTGTCCTCCAGTAAAAGATCTCGCATTGAAGGGTTGAAATTTCAGGCTAGATCTCTGGAGGAAGAAAATGGAGTAGCAGCAGAGGAAGTAGCTAAAAACTCACCGAGGAAAAGGGGAAGAGCGCTGACTGCCAAAACAGCCAGGAAATCGCTAGCTTTAGCGGCCCCCATGAGGACGTTGTCGCGGCTGGATAAAAGCAAGGGACCAATCTCAGACTATCTTATCCCATTGATTTGTTCCCATGATGGCATGGGACCCAAATCCTATCACTGATGGGTAACGATGAAGCGCTGTGCATACCAGCTATCCCTCTCAGAAGTCATCCAACGCCTGCGATGGTCTGCAACATAGTAAAACAGCAGGTCTTGCATTCGCTGGGAGACGTGGGTCTTCTACCAGAACCGAAAATGGCACGGTACCTGGTGGACACCCCTGAGGGTGGTAAGGTTCGGCTGCTCATTGCTTTTTTGGACATAACGTACATATCAGATAACAAAGCTAAATGGGATGAGCTAAAAATATATTCAAGTTGGTTGGAATTGAACCACCTGGCGGCAGCACACTCAGAGACGCTAGCAGGAATAAAGCTAGTGGCTAATCTCACTGCCAAGGTAATAGCAGATTGGCTAGTCCAATCGGATAACCTGAATATAGTTTTGGCAGAATCCTTTGCTGAAACTTTACTCCTTAGGAGAACAAGGAAGAATGTCAGTTTTATGGTAGGGGAAAATGTTGTCCCGGCAACTGTAAACTCCCCCTCCGACACTAAAGACACAGCGGAGCCTCACAGCCATATCCAAAACCCAAATGGCCAGTCCCCTAAGGATGGTCCTACCGACTAGGATCAGATTGGGTAGCTGGAACATTCGAGGTTTAGGTGATCACAATGATACATTTAAACGCAGCAAGCTACCTGAATGGCTACAGTCTCAAAATGTTCAGATAATATGTCTTCAAGAAACCAAAATTAATACAAACAATTGGGCAGACATTCAAAATTGGTGGGCTGACCCTCAAATTTGGTCACAAGCGGATGGTACCAAAGGAGGAACAACCATTTTGATAGACAAAAACCTGGACGTGGAGATAATAGACAGTTGTGTGGACACAGAAGGAAGGTGGGCGTGGATGAAACTGGCAATAGCAGAGGAGGACTGGGCCGTCATGTATGTGTATGCCCCAGTGGACTACCCCACTAGACTTAATTTTTTCTCAAATTTACCCAAAATTATCCCTGACACAGATAACTTACTCATAATGGGGGACTGAAACTGTGTACTAAACCCGGGACTAGACTCCCCAACCGCCACTCCTATTAGAAATGGTGCACTACTGTTGACTTCCTTAATAATCTCAAGCATTGGTGGATGTATACAGGACCCTCAACTCTGACTCCTTTGGTTTCACATGGGTAGGGCCACAACCGTCAAGAAATACCGCACGACCAACGAGGCGCCTAGACTTCATTATGGCGAGGGGTGATCCTTGGGAACGGTGTGTCTGGGCAGACAAAAAGGTTTCTTCAATTTCAGACCACCATCCCGTCCTTATGGACGTATTATCCAAGGAAACAATAGCTCGAGCTAAGCCCCCTTTCCGCTTGAATGTCCAAATCCTAAAAGACCCAGGTATCCCACTATGGATCAAGGCTCAAATGGAAGATTGACAACTCGCAAAAGATTTGTTCCTTAATACGGAACAATGGGTAGAAGTGAGAATA